ATGATCCAACCATTCATCCTTCCATGATCCATCCATCCACCCACCCAATCATCCATCCATCCATCCACAATTCAGCTATTGATCCACCTATCTACATATCCATGGATCCATTCATCTACTCATTCATGCCTTACCCAACCACTCACCACCCATCCTTATACTCATTCATTCATTCAAACATGTATTAAGCTGAGGAGATGAAGTAGATTTGACATACCCATGCTTTTTATAAGATCCCAGTCTGGTGGTAGAGTTAGGTCCAGGTGGAGACCATCCCACCTCACTGTGCCCATGTCTGGAGGGGAAGACTCAAGCCTGAGGGAGGTCCTTGGAAGGGCTGTGAGGGCTCTGCCTAGGAGGAGGGAGTGGGAAAGGCAGCAGGAAGGAGGGGGCTTTGGGGCTATCTGGAAGGATGAGAAGCAGCTCCTGGGAGGTGGGAATGGGAAAATGGAAGGTATCCCTGGCAGAAGGTTGAGTGTGGGCAAAGGCCTGGAGGGTTAAAAGAGGACGGGGCAGAGGGGTGCCTGGGCAGCTCAGTCGGTTAAGCATCTGACACTTGATTTTGGCTCAGGTCATGATCTCAGGGTCCTGAGATCAAGCCCTACGTTGGGCTCACACACTGGGCATGGAGACTGCTTAAGGTTCTCTCTCTCTCTCTCTCTCCCTCTGCCCCTCTCTCTAAAACCACAAAGAGAGAGGGAACAGACTACTCTACAGGGAGGTCTGGGAATCAGGAGAGATACCTCAGGGCTGCTCAAGAAGTGCTGTGGGTTCCAGGAAGCATAGGGGCAATGGGCAGCCTCTTTGAGCGGGTGAGGACTCCTGCCAACCCTCCTGTCTCATTCTTACAGGTCTGGAGGTGACACCAGGCCCTGGGGCCTACAGCCCAGAGAAGGTAGCCCCTGTGCGTCACCGGACGCCTCCGGCTTTCACTCTGGGATCCCGCCTACGACCACAGCTCCAGGACACCTCAGCCCCTGCCCCTAACACCTATACTCTGCCCTCCCTCTGGGGCTCCCAGATATTCACTAAGCCCAGCAGCCCCAGCTACACGGTAGCAGGCCGCACACCCCCCACTCGCCCCCCTCAGGACCCTGCTGAGATACCAGGCCCTGGCCAGTATGATAGCCCAGACCCCAACACCTACCGTCAGCGCCGGCCCGCCTTCACCATGCTGGGCCGGCCGCGTGCCACCCGCACCCCGGAGGAGACTCCTGGGCCTGGTGCCCACAGACCTGAGCAGGTCACCATGACCACAGCCAGGGCCCCAGCGTTCACCATGGGCATCCGCCACTCCAAAAGGGCTACCACCATGGGTGGGGACACCATGCCCTGACACCTTTGGGGTCAGGACTCCTAGCTGCCCCTGGACCAAGCCTCAGTTTACCTCTGTGGTCACATGGGGTGCGGGCAGGCCCCTCTTGAGCCTGGCTTTGGCTGGTGGGGTGCTTGGAGAAGTGGGGGGCAGGTGCCTCTTTTCTCCTTTTTTCTGAACTCTGAGGTCCTTCTGGGCCACCTGCTTCTTTCGGTCCCTGAAGGCTGTGACCCTGCGGCCCCGTCAGGGTGATCTTCCGTCCAGTGCCCCAGATTCTTCCTTCTGGTCACACCAGGCCAAGTCAGGCCAGGCAGAGAAAGGGAGAGCCCCAGCCCTCCCCAGCGGCTGGCTGGGGATGAGCTTCCTGTGCCCTAGAACTTGGCGTCCACCCTGCTAGGGCCTGCGTCCCCAACACGGCTCAGGTTTCTGCTAAACTTGGGCTCTTCCCTGCTCCTCAAGGAAGCACAGCTGCCTGCGCTGGTCCCGGCCCCAAATCGGGCTGATACCCCTCCCTCTAGGGGCTGCCAATAAATCTCTCTGTGGTACAAGAGCTGTCAGCATCACACATGTGAGTGCATTTAACCCGCTGTCCACATCAAAGGGAGGAGAGTTAAGTGCTGCTTTTAAGATCCAGACCCCAATTCTGCGGCCCCTGGGGGACTGGATGGGACCAGAGGAGGGATCCAGGGCTGGGTAAGAGCCAGAGCTTTGAATGGGGGAAGCCAGGTAAGCTTCTTGGAAGAGGGGACATTGAAACTGGGTTTTGAAGGACGCAGAGGAGTTTAATGTATTCTAATTTCCATCATCAGTAGGTGCCTACCATGTTTCAGATATTGATAAAGATCATTTAAGCGTCACAACAACTCAGGAGGCAGTCAATGCTTACTGAGAGAAAATGGGGCTTTGGAGAGATTGGACCCTTGCCTGAGGGCACACTGTGAGCCCTTGTGTCTCTCTGATGCCAGGATTTGAATCTTGGCCACTGGGCTCTGTTCCTGCCATGCTTCCCTGGGGACAGGAAGGAAACACATGGATGGTGTCATGTGACTGAGCCTCCTGTGTGATAGGCCCAGGTCTTAGAAACCCCTGACCCAGAAAGACCCTAACCCAGGAGCTTGGGAGGGACAGACTGCCACCATGAGGAGATGGCCCAGGGGTGGCACCTCAGGCATGACCCAGAGGGGTCCTGAGATGCATGACCCTTACTCTGTCCCTTCCTCCCAGCCTGGAAATGCCAAACTTGAACATGAACCCCTTTACCCATGTAGGTGGATACACACCAGGACCCCTACACATACATGCACACCCACCCCTCAGGAGAACCCAGATGCCCCCCTAACATGCATACACATGTTCAAATCTACACACAGTAGACAAACAGGCCAACTCTCATACGGTCCACATGTATGTAGACACACAACACATACAAACCCAGATGGAGGCTCCAGACCCCGACAACGCCCCCCCTCCCCAGCAGACCCCGAGGACTTGACCGCTGTATACCCGCTCATCCCGACCCTGCAGATGCACCAGAGCAGTCCCAGCGTGACACACGCAGGCTTGGGGCAGCATCACCGACCCCCGCCCCACCCCAACGCCGGCCAACCCGCCGCGAGTCCCTCCCCCTCTTCGCCTCCTTCTCCACAGGCTTCGCGGGCGATCGCCAGGCTGTGATCTCATTTCTCTGATTTATCGATCCCGCTCCAGGCAGCCTCACGCCTCCTTCCCCACCTGCCCGCGCGCCCCGGCCCCCTCCCTTTGTTTCCCGGCAGTGAGCCCCACCCCAGGCGGGGGAGGGGAAGGAGGCTCTGTCTAGACTGAGGCCAGGAGGCTCGATGACCGTGGCCTCTCGACCCTCGGGGCAGAAGGACTCAGCCTTTGAGGTCTGGGTGGGGGACAAAGAGCCTGGGGACGGAGGGGCAGGCCGGCCTGAGAGGCCGAGGCCCAAGAGTTCAGTTGGGCTGATGACAGACAGAACTCCCCAGAAATGGAGGAGGAACCCGTGACCCCCCAGCTCACGCCCCTGGCTTACAGCCTGGAAAACTGAAGCCCAGGGAAGAGCAGCAAAAGGGGGGCTGGGCTTCGCTCCTCCCTCCCAGGCCCAGCCTGCCCAACCCACACTCCTGGGCCCGAGTCTCCGCGGCGTGCCCCTCTCTGGGTCTCAGTTTCCTCATTAGGAAACCGAGCAGGGCATAATTTTCAAGTACCTTTCAGCTGGAACAGTGGGAAGGGAGGTGCCTGACCTTAGGGTTTGGGGCTCTCTCCTTCCCTGACCGCGTCCCCACCCCTTTCCAGGCGTCAGTTTTCCCATCAGTCAAAAACGGGAGAAGGCAGGTGATTTCTGTCTCTCCCACCTCCGTCCTTCTAGGAATCTGGGCAACGGGTGGGGGGCGAAGCTGGGGTCGCTGCCCGGGTCTTGGATTGGAAACATTGCTCCCTCCCTGGCTGCTGGATCCGAGGCAGCGTCCATGCCCTCAGCGGGCCTCAATTTCCCCAGGCTCCCTGCAGGCGCCGGGACGCCCAGGGCCCGGGTCCCAGGGGCGCAGCCCCCCGCGGCTGCGCGCTGGGCCGGGCGGATGACATCACCGGGCCGGGGCGGGGGGGGGGGGGGGAGGAGGGAGCGGGACGGAGGGGAGGGCCTCCTCCGCGCCAGGCGCAGCGCCCGGTAGGGCTCGGTCGGGCGACCGCGGCCATGACGCAGGGTCCGGGCGGGCGCACGCCCCCCGCACCCCCTGCGCCCCCGGAGCCCGAGGCGCCCACCACCTTCTGCGCGCTGCTGCCGCGCATGCCGCAGTGGAAGTTCGCCGCCCCCGCGGGCTTCCTGGGCCGGGGCCCGGCTGCACCGCGCACAACCGGGGGCGCGGGGGCCGCCGACTCCCAGCCCGAGCCGGCCGGCCCGGCTGGCGTCCCAGCGCTGGCGGCGGCGGTCCTGGGCGCCTGCGAGCCGCGCTGCGCCGCACCTTGCCCGCTGCCCGCGCTCAGCCGCTGCCGGGCCTCCGGGGCCCGGGGACCGCGGGGCGCGCGGGGGGTGGCCGGGCCCCCGGACGCCGCCGCCGACGAGTGGATCCGCAAAGGCAGCTTCATCCACAAGCCGGCGCACGGCTGGTTACACCCAGACGCCAGGGTCCTGGGGCCCGGGGTCTCCTACATCGTGCGGGTGAGTGCGCCGGCCGGGATCCCTGGGAGTACATCTTCCCCAGGTTGGGGCTCCCTTCCCCCTTCTCTTCGACCCTGAGAGCCAGGTCTCTCTTCTCCATCCTTACTCCTCTCCCCACCACCCTGGACCCCCACCTCCAGCCTGCGCGGCGCTGGCCGCCCCCAATGGGGCGGTGCTGGGGTCAGGGTTCCCACGGCGTCACGTGGGGAGGGGCGGGGAGAGGGCGGCAGGTGGGTGGAGGACACGCATGCGCAGCTGGAACAGTCTCCCGCTCCCTTGGTATTGTGAGAGGAGTCGGTGGCGGGGGACTTCGGTGGGCGCATCCTACCCCCCAGACCCCCATTGAAAGCGTCTTCGCGGGCCGCCGGGTCGGAAGCTGCAGAGGCCTTGGCTAAGGTGGGGGGCGCGGAGAAGGGGTATCTGGAAAGGGGCCGCGCCCAGCCAGACCGCAGGATTCGGTGGGAGACTGCGGGACTCGGGATGGGGTGTAAAGCGAGGGACCACCTTTTATCCTGGTGCTTTATTGTGAACCTTTCAAACAGACGGAAGAGTCGGACGAATAGAGCACCTGTGTATCTCTACCTACGACTGTAAACATTTTATCTTCTCTACTCACATGTCTACCCCTGTGTGTGGTTTTCGGCGAACCAGTAGAGTAAACTGCCCCTGATGACACTGATTGTTAAGTGCTTCCGCACGGTCTCCCAAGAAAGCGTCATCTTACCCACAGCTCATTGTTCCGTCTGAGAAATCACCAGAGATCCCAAAATGTCATCGAACATCGGGCAGGATTCACACCCCCTCGATTGGCTTGTTGGGACCAGGACCCTGGAAGTTAATGCGTTTGCATGTGGTTCTGTCTGTTCCCTTTCCAACTGTCCCCAACACCACCTGTCCCGCCTCTCGCAGGGCTGGGTTGGGTAGTGCCCCCTGCTGAATTCATGTCCATGGGCACCTGCAAATGCAGGCTTCTTTAGAAATAGGGTCTTTGTAGACATAATCAAGTTAAAACGGGGTCATCCTCGAGTAGGCTGGTGTCGTGGTCAGAAGAGGGAAATGACACAGACACACACAGGGAGAAGCCACGTGAGGACAGAGGCAGAGGTTGCAGAGATGCTGCCACAGGCTTGGGGGCCCAAAGGGTTGCTGCTCACCACCCCCAGGAGCTGGAGGAGGCTGGAAGGACCATCCCCTGGGGCCTCTAGAGGGTACGTGGCCCTGCCTACACCCTGATTTCGGACTTCTGGGTCCCCAGAGCTGGGAGAGCACACCTTCCATGGTTGTAAGCTGCCCGGCTTGTGGTACTTAGTTATGGCAACCCCAGGAAAGTACTGTGTCCCTGGTAGTGTCGACATTTTGAGTGTCCCAGACCCTCCCTCCTCCATGTGTGGTTTGGGTCTGAGCATCGTATCACAGGGGAGCCTACGAGATGCGTAGATCCTCAGGCCTAACCGTGGACTTGCCAGGGCCATAGACTGCCCCACATCCGGGATCTGTCCCTTTTCTCGTGGGGTCTTTTAACTTGGTCCTTTGCCCTTTCTTTTCCTGAATCCTGGCAATGGGTCTACAGGATTGGCTTTGTAGCAAGGGTATTTCAAGGATGGTGCTGTGGACTTCAAGCACAGGGGAAGCCGAGTCTGCCCCTTGGCTGTGGGTACGGGGGGTTTAGAATGTTCAGAATTCTAAATGGGTTTAGAATGGGTTCAGGATTGGATTTGTAGCAAGGGTATTTCAAGGATGGTGCTGTGGACTTCAAGCACAGGGGAAGCCGAGTCTGCCCCTCGGCTGTGGGTACGGGGGGTTTAGAATGTTCAGAATTCAGATGCCTGCATTGCGGGGTGCAGGCTGTTGGGTTATTCCCATGATCATGACGTTTTTTTCAACACAGCAAATATCAAATGCATGCCCGTCCTGCCAGGCGCTGACAACCTGGTGGGAAATAAGGAAGATCTGGTCCCTGCTTTTACCGGGCTTAGATTCTAGAGGGAGACCCTGACAGTAAATACAGAAGAGAACAAATAAATGGCAGATATCGGCAGGTGCTAAATTAAAATGCAGAAATTTAAATAAAGTGATGCCAGAGTAAGCGACTGGGTGGTTACTTCAGTGGGGCTAGTAGGGGAAGGCATCTCTCAGGAGATGACATTTAGACTGAGACCTGAAGCCATGATGCCCCAGACATGAAACAACTGGGGAAGAGAGTTCCAGGCAGGGGCACAGCAAGTACAAAGGCCCAGTGGCAGGGAATGGGTTTGGCATGTTCGGGTAACAGCAGGGGCCCATGTGTCTGGAGCTTATGGAGTGAAGGAGAGGAATAAGAGATTTGTGGGCAAGTTTGGGTGTAGGTGGTTTTAAGCAGGGATCAAAGGGTGGAGTTTGAAGTTTCGAAAGGGTCTTTCTGGTAGCTCTGTGGAAATGGGGTGGGGGTGGGGGCCAGAAGGGCCGCAGAGGGACCCAGGAGGGGGAAAGGAGGGGTGACCTGGACCAGGGCAACATGGGGGCGGAGAGAAGGGGGGACACTTCTGTGGAGACGGAACCCACAGGCGTCTCTGGCAGGTGAAGGGCCCTGAGCTGGGCCCCATGGGGTTTGAAACAGTCTCAGCCCTCTGCTTTGTTTGCCTGGAAGCCTCACAAAACCCTAGAATGATCCCTGTTTGAGATGAGAAGGCGGAGCCCTGGCGGACAGAGATGGGAACGTGGTATCTGAGTTCTAGGTGCACAGTTGAGTGCTGTGCATGGATCGGTGTGCATTATCCTCACAACCCTGAGGTTGCCCACCCATTTCACAGATGAGATGCCTCCGGCTGCATCACCCTAAACCGCACTCAGAGCTTTGAGGTAAAGGATGTCCATTATCTCACGTGAGGAGAGACTCCGGGCGGCAGCTCTGTGGCTGTTTAACTCAGCAGCTCGGTGACCTCATCATGGATCCAGGCTCTGTTCATCTGTGTTGGGGTGAATAATGTCCCCGAAATTCACGTCCCCCTGGAACCTCAGAACGTGATCTTGTTTGGAAACAAGTCTTTGCAGATATAATTAAGGAGAGATCATGCTGGAGTAGGGCGGGCCCTGAATCCAACGTGTCCTTGCACGTCGCGTGAGGACACCTGGAGAAGGGGGCCATGTGAAGAGGGGGGTGGAGAACAGAGTGACCTGGCTGCCTGTGCAGGGACACCAAGGGCCGCCAGGCTCTGGAGGAGGCAGGAAGGACCCTCCTTGGGGTGTCCAGACTTGAACACCTAGATCTCAGGCCTCCGGTCTCCAGACTGTGAGAAAATATGCTTCTGTTGTTCCACGCTGCCCCATCTGTGGGGTGACAGCCGCCCCAGGAGAAGAGTACGCCACCCTTGACACTGACTTCCCTCTCAGACCAGGTCCTGTTCTATCACCCTACAAAAAAGAGCCTTCTTCCCGTGGGGCCCTTTCATGAGTAAGGGAACCTTTCCCAGAAGTGCCCAGCCAGCTTCCCCTCCTGTCTCATTGGCCAGACTTGTGTCCCGTGAACTTTGCCTAAACCAGCTGCATGGTGAACCTAGATCATCACTGCCCAAAGACTTTCCTGAGGCGATGGAATGTTGGAGATCTCTGCTGTCCAATATGGTAGCCCCACGTGGCCACGGAGCCATGTGGCTGGTGCGACAAACAAACTAAATTTTAATTTTATTTAATTTTAGATTAAATTCAAGTGGTCATACGAGACACGTGCTTGCCCTACTGGACAGCTCAGCTCTAGTTGTCCCCGATCTTCTGACCTTTCTGAAGGGTGGATGTCTGAGCAAAATTTTGTTGTTAACAAAGTGAGCCCGCACTGTGGACAAGGCAGAATTTGCATCAAGCTCTGTGGACCACCAGTCCTGTCTTCCTCTCACTCATACCATTTTGACACATTGGACTTCCCCTTTCACAAAAATTCCACTGATAGGAACTTTCCGCTTTTTAAATTTTTTTAAAATTTTTTTATTGTTATGTTAATCACCATATATTACATCATTAGTTTTTGGTGCAGTGTTCCATGATTCATTGTTTGTTCATAACACCCAGTGCTCCATGCAGAACGTGCCCTCCTCAATACCCATCACCAGGCTAACCCATCCCCCTACCCTTCCCCTCTAGAACCCTCAGTTTGTTTTTCAGAGTCCATTGTCTCTCATGGTTCGTCTCCGCTTTTTAAATTTTTTAAAAAAGATTTTATTTATCTATTTGAGAGACAGAGTAAGCGAGAGAGAGAGAGCTCATGAGCAGGGGCAGAGGCAGAGGAAGAAGCAGGCTCCCCGCTGAGCAGGGAGCCCGATGTGGGGCTCGATCTCCCGCCCCTGAAATCATGACATGAGCCGAAGACAGATGCATGACTCACGGAAACACCCAGGCGCCCCGGGAGCTTTCTGCTTTTTTGAGGTGCCCTCACTCATGCCCTCTCACAAGCCCTCCATGAACGAAGGTTTTTAAACTGTGTGCCCAGCTCTGCTCATGGTGCAGTGGGGCACAGAAAGCCAGTGACCCTGGCCAGGTGGACTGGTTCCGGCTGGGGAGCAAATGGAGCTCAAGCCTGGACACATGTCAGTGAAATGACCAGGACTCTGTGTCACTCAGTTTTTCCTGAAGTGTGGTTTTCATATGCTGGTGATATGCAAGGGAACCGTGGGAGGTTAACTGAGTAGAGATGTTTTTACCTGAAATGCAGCTTATTCCTCAAAGCAAGGAGTAGGGTGTCTCCAGGATGACTTAATTCAGTGGCTTGACAACACCCTTAAAGACCTGGGTCTTTCCATCTTTTTGTGCTGCCGTCTTTAGCATGCTGGCTTAGCTGCCCTCATGGTCACAAAATGGCAGCCACAGCACTAGGCATCACACATGGATCCAACCATGTACACTGGAAGAAAAGAAGACCATCCCTTCCTTAGTTCTCTTTATAAGAGACTGTCCACCATTCCCCCTGCCCCACCCTGCCACACCTCATTGGCCCCAAATGGCAAAATCCATTCATAGCAAGGGGGCTGGGA